CTCGAACCCGCAGGCTCAGGCAATCCACTCACCTCAGCCTCCCAAAGGCGCGGGATTACAGGCTGAGCCACCGAGCCTGGCGTGACCAGCAAAGTTTTAATGAGTTTTCCAGCAAGAAGAAGAAAAGGAAAAAGGAAGAATAGTGGCAGAAAGACGTGCCCCAGGTGAGTTTCTCAAAAAGAAAAGTCATGCTTTCACTTTCAACCACAGGCTAGACTACGTGGACATTGATATGCTAATGAGGGTGGAGCCCAGGTAACCTCTGACCTCTTGCATGGATGGGAGGAAGGTGGTTTTGTTATTTCCTTTTTTTTGAGTTGGAGTCTCACTCTGTCACCCAGACTAGAGTGCAGTGGCACCCACACGGGCACCGCAGCCTCGACCTGCTGGGCTCAGCTGATACTTCCGCCTCAGCCTTCCAAATGGCTGGAACTACAGGCACGCGCCACCATGGTTAATTATTTTATTTATTGTACAGATGAAGTCTCACCAAGACGCCTATGGGCTCAGGCAGTCCTCTCATCTCAGCCTCCCAAAGTGCTGGGATTATAGGCGTGAGCCACCGTGACTGACTTTTTTTTAATTTTTTTATTTTTTTTGAGTTGGAGTCTTACTCCCTCGCCCAGGCTGGAGTGCAGTGGCAGGCTCACAGCCACCCTAGCGTCAACCTGCTGGGCTCCAGTGATCCTTCTGCCTCAGCCTTCCAAGTAGCCGGAACTACAGGCACGTGCTACCACACCCCCCTAATTTTATTTTTTATTTATTGTAGAGATGAGGTCTCACCAAGTTACCCGGGCTGGTCTCAAACCCTCAGGCTCAGACAATCCACTCACCTTGGCCTCCCAAAGTGGTGGGATTACAAACTGAGCCCTGGAGCCTGGCCTATTATTATTTCTATAGTTGTGATAGGTTAAGAGGTGGGGTTGGGCCTGCTGCTTTCATTGGGGGACCAGAAAGATTCTTAGTGATTATCATGTTAAACCATGAATAGATAGGTTGGGCTGTCCTGTCCTTACATCTGATGGGGTTTTCTGCTGATTTGCCAAAGGCGTGGGGTTAGACTACAGTTTGACCTGCATTAAATTGAAATTTTAGCCGGACCCGCGGGTTCGAGACCCGCCCAGGCAACTTGGCAGCCCTCATCTCTACAAGAAATCAAAAAAAATTAGCTGGGCGTGGTAGCACGCGCTTGTAGTTCCAGCTACTTGGAAGAATGAAACGGAAGGATCACTGGAGCCCAGCAGGTCGAGGCTGTGGTGGCCGGGAGTGGCCACTGTACTCCAGTCTGGGCGACAGAGTGAGACCCCAACTTGAAAAAAAAATAATAATAATAATAATAATCTCTAGTAAACTTTTGATTCCTTGTCAAGGCCAAAGTCATAAGAGTTTGTGAGTTACAAATGTCTAACAAGTCTCCTGCAGGAAAGCCCCCCAGGGTTAACCTACCTGACACAAAGAAGCCCCACCATGGCAGCAATCATGTGACTAGTCCACCCAACTGCCTGCTGTCCGTCACCTGACATCATCAGTCCCTGCACTTGCCTGCCCCTTTGTGGTGACGTGGAAGCAGACCACCACCCAATCACCCTAATGATCTTCCCCCATCAAGGGGACTGGTCAAAAGGACTCAACCACAAGCAACCAGTGGCCATTGCCTTGGCAGAGTCGGGTGTGGCTGTGTGCTTTCTGAGCCATGGTTGTCGCCATGCTTCCTGGCTTTGGCCCCCTTCACCTTGGGGAGGTGAATCTTCTCTCTTCTTTCTCTTTCTCTCTCTAATTTACTTTGTTTGTTTGTTTGTTTGTTTGTTTTGTTTTGTTTTGTTTTTTGAGTTGGAGTCTCACTCTGTCGCCCAGACTGGAGTGCAGTGGCTGCTCCCGGCCACCGCAGCCTCGACCTGCTGGGCTCCGGCGATCCTTCCGCCTCAGCCTTCCGAGCAGCCGGAATTACAGGCGCGCACTACCACGCCCAGCTGATTTTTTGATTTATTGTGGAGATGAGGTCTCGCTGCCCAGGCGGGTCTCGAACCCGCGGGCTCAGGCAATCCACTCACCTCAACCTCCCAAAGCTGCGGGATTACAGGCTGAGCCACCGAGCCTGGCTCTAATTTACTTTTAAATAAACTTTTCTTTCTTAACCTTTTTGTGTGTCACAATTCTTTGCATCTACTCGGATCTCTGGGCTCCCAGCGCGGCACCTCCGGCTTGCCGGCCCCGGCGGGGCTGCGCCCCTTGCTCCATCCACTTTCCCTCACCCTGTCCGAACCCTAACACACGGGAAGCTCGTCCTTGGGTTGGACAGTTATCCCGGAGGATAGCCCGGCCCACAGACCGCCTAGATGACCACACAATGAGAGCCACTTCCCCAAAGGTAACCTCGGACGGGTGACAGGGCCTTCCACATCCTGTGTGGTTTGGCAGGGAGGCTTTCTCTGTCTGGCCTCTGCCCCATCAGGGAGCTGAGTAGCTGCAGTTGCAGCCCATTCCAGAGCGCCTGGATGGAAGGAACCTCTTTAAGTCAGGCCTTGTTAGCAGCACAAAGAAGGAAGAACGCAGCCT